ACCCCCAGGGCCCTCCACCCAGGGGCTTGGTGGTCCTCCCACCAGGTCCCACAGATGGGGTGAGGAGTCCCTGAGCTGCGCTTCTGCGCTGACTTGGCCTTATTGGCTGCCCAGTACCTGTTGAGGCAGGTGGGCTGGGGGCCCTGGGGAGGGGGAGGCAGGAGAGCTGCCCTGACCCCGAATCCTGGGCAACCACAGCCCTTGGCTACACCAGGTGTCCCAGCCTCTTGGATCTACAGTCCTCCCAGCCCGTTTCCAGCTTTGAGCCAGCCTGGTTCTCAGCAGAATGAAGGAGACACTGAGGCACAGATGAAGGCCCAGAGCTACCCGAAGAGGCTCCGGGGCTCCCCACACTAAGGCTTCTGGTTTGTCTGTGGGAGTGGGGGTTACGGGGAAAGCTGGGAGGCACACTGGATGGAGTCTGGGATGTGACCTTGGCCCCTGGCCTACCCTGGGACCTTCTCCCAAAACCTAATCCTGGCCCCAAAACCTAGCTCAGGCCTATGACTCAGCCAGAGCTGAGCAAGGCTTTCCTGACCCCAGCGGCCAGCCCAGCTCAGGGACTTCTCCACCCCTGGCCACGTCAGGACGTAGCCACCCACAGCCACCCAAGTCATGCCCATCTGGCTAGCTTTTCTGCTTCTCTCTCTCCCATACCCCCACTGCCCCAGGTGGCAGCGCCCCTCCAGGAGGTGTTTCCACTCTGGCAGCAGCCACACCCCCTGTGCCTTCTTTTCTGGCCCTGGAATGTGGAATTGAGAAAGCCTCAGGCCTTGTGGCCTGAGCTTGGAAGGCCCTCCCAGCCATGCGGGTTCCCACCCGGCCACTGCCTCCAGGCAGAGGGACCTCTCCCCTTCCTCCTCTCATCAAACCCCAGGTCTTCCAGGATAAGTCCTGGGGCCTCCCCTGGAGGCCTCGCTCACTATTCCCCAACTTCTTGCAAGTATTCACAGAATACACACCACCTTGCTTCCTACAGTTGTGGGCTCCTTCAAGAGAAGGACCCCTCCCCCCATCACATACACACACACAGTGCCTAGTACTCGGTAGAGGCTTAGATGTTGGCTGAGTTGGACCTGACTGAAGAGCTCCCCTGGAGTTTGTGTGCACCCCATTTAATCATGCCTACCACCACACTTTTTTCCTGAGCCACAGCCCTCTCCCGACATCTCACATTCAACCACAAAGGCATCCCTAAGTGTCCACTCTGGGCCTCCCAACCCCAGTTTAGACACAAGGAGCACAATGGAAGCCGGGACTTGATCTTCCCAATGCACTAAGCTCTTTCCTACCTCAGGGCCTTGGCACTTGCTGTTCCAGCTGCCTGGAATGCTCTCCCTCAGCCCAGCTCTTCATTGTTCACCAAGCCAAATCCTTCTTCTACTTCTGGAAGCCCCTGAAAGCCATCTCCTCAAAGAGGCTTTCCCTGATCACCCAAGTAGGCTTCCCCACTATTCTTTATCAGCAGTACCATGATCACTTCTTTCTTACCACAGCTCACAGTCAGAAGTCATTTGGGGTAATTCCCATTCATATATGTATAGTATAACTCCCCACACTAGACTCATGAGGGCAGGAACATGCCTGTCTCACTCACACCATATCCCAGTACCTGGAACAGTGTCTGCTCCAGGCCCACAGCACCAAACAGCATTATCTTTGTGCAGATAAGAAAAAGGTCCCACCCTCTGGGTAGACCAGCTGTATGGACACACAGGTGAGTCAAGTGTCTTTGTGGGAACAGCAAGAAGGTGCTTTTCCTCCATTTGGACCCAGCCTCGTGCCTGGGTTCATGGCTTGGTGAGCAAAGCATGGGCTGATTCCAAGGCTCTCCTGGGTAGATGCCTTTGGCATTGAATGGCCTACGTGACCATACAGGGCAGCCCTGCCTGAAACACAGTGGGCAGACACTCAACAAGTGCCCTTGAATGGAGGGCAGGTGGAGAAATCATTGGGCAATCGCAATACGATGGGCTGAGTGGCCCCTGGGAGCTGGAATGCAGAGCTTGTCCTTGAAAGCGGGAGTGAGGAAAGACTTCCCCCAGCCCACAGTCCAGAAGACAGAAGCTCAGCAAACTGAAGTCAAGTGGCAGGTGTGGCCAAGCCCTGGAGGATAGATTTTATACCTTCAGAAGCACTTGTCCCCAACCCCCAGGAGGCTCTCTTGCCCTGGGTCCCCTCCAGGGAAGGCACCTTTACATCTTAGTCATCTCTCTCGGGTCTTCTCCCATAGGGCAGTATTTCCTGCTCTCCAATGTGCATCCTCCTGCTGAAATTTGAAACTTGGCCCTGCCGTTCTGCTGGCTTCTCACTTCCCAGGTCAATGGCATATTCACATGTGTTACAGAAAGGGAAACAGTGGCAGCCAGCCTCCAGGGTGGCCCTGGTGTTTCTCACCTTCTGGTATGCACACCCATCTATGGTCCCCTCCCACGATGAATAGGGTTCATTTATGTACCCATTTGGATATTTGAGAAATGATGACAAGTGACTTCTGAGGCTGTCATCAAAGGCATTGTGGCTTCAGCCTTGGTCTCCTGGATGACTCGCTCTGGGGGAAGCCAATTATCATGTTGTGAAGACACTCAAGCAGCCATAGGGAGATGGCCACACGGTGGACAGCAGAGAACTCCTGCCACCAGCCAGCACCAGCTTGGCTGGCACATGACAGAGCCCCCTTGGAAATGAATCCCCCAGCCCCAGTAAGGCCTTCAGATGACTGCAGCCCCAGCTGATGTCTTGACTGCAACTTCATGAGCCACCCAGAGTCCAAACCAGCCATCTAAGTCACTCATGAATCCCTGACTCAGAGAAACTATGTAAGGTCATAATTGTGTATTTGTCTTAAACTGCTAAGTTTTGGGGTGATTCGTTACACAGCTACAGGTAACTAAGGCAGAAATCAGAGCACAGGATCCCTCAGAAAGCAAGAGGACAAAAGATAATGCTGGGAACTGAGAACAGGGGCCATCTCCTGGGTCCCTCCTTGCTCCCTGAGTACCTGCGTGCTCCTTTCTCTAACTCCTTCCCTTTCCTCACCCTACCAAGCACTTAGTCATTGTGGCGCAGAAAGTAACTCCAAAGAGGCTTTTGAACCTCAACCTTCCTCCCCAGCCCACCACTGTACCAGTCCAGACCAATTATCCTTCCACCAGCCTTGTCTTCCTTCAATCCAGAGTCACAGACCATTCTCAAGTGCAAACTGATCTTATCACCGCTGCTTAGAGGACTCTGTCCAGCTCCTCAGCATACTTACAGGGCCCTGCATGGCCTGGTCTTGCCTCCACCTCCATATGCTGCCCCAAAAGAGATCTGTTCCTGCCACACCAAGCTCCCCAAATGAACTTTTAATCTGCAAAAAGCAGACTCATAAACATCCTCCAACGCCCAGTTCAAAATGTCTTCTCTGGACAGTCAGGCATTCAAAGATGGTCCCTCCCTCCTCTGTGCTCCCATTACCCTCAGCTCACACCCCTTGGAAAGCTCTCGGCACCTGGGAGAACTAAGTAATCCTTTATGATTTGTCTCCCTCACACCCAACTGCTGCTCTAAGGCAGAAAGGGAGATCTGTTCAACTTTGCAGCTTCAAATCCTGCCCCTTCCCCTTAGCTCAGGGTCCGACATACAGGTGAGACTCAAGAAATATGCAGTAAATTTCAAACTGGAAGGAT